GTAGTAAAATGCGTAGGTTTGAAAAAGCCGCGAGTTCGCAAATCGAGGTTTGGCAAGTGGATTACTACAAGCATGTGGCAAACTTACCCCAAGAAAATCAGAAACTGTAGATTACCCACAGTGGTAACGGAACAACACGGCAAGCATGCGCTCTTTCCGCGCTCGAACGCCCCTCGGGTGGTCTTGTACCCGAATGGACTACGGGATCACCATGCTCAAAATGTGGCATGTCCTGAACATGGGAAACTGACACCAATCGACCGATCGTTCACAGCTCCCAAAACATTCTTCTTGGTGTCAGTTTCCTCCCTTAGCCGCAGCACACCTTCGTGCAAAAGCTGGAGCAAGGGCTGGATGTTGCCATGACGTTTCGTCAAACAATCCACTACCATCTGCGGATGTGGCACCCATTTGATTGCTGTACGGGTCTCTGCCAGCATCTGCCGCACCACTTGCATCTCTAATGCGGTGCGTTTGTCATTCGTGGTTCCTACCGTCTCCTTTGAGAGGTGGTCAAACAAGGACTTCGCATCTACGATGCTGAGATTCTCAGCTAAGGCCCGCTCACTGCTCTCAGAAACCAAGGCACTCATGCGGTGTTTTCGCAAGGCTTCCTCCCACCGTCGCATGTCAAAGGCCTCGGTGGTGAATTCGTTGCGCACGGTCACGGTCCATGACAGCTCGGCCAACCCACGCGACAATGCCTGTGTCTCAGCTGCCAGGGTAGAGTTAACTACCCTGTGGATCTTTCCACTCCGCCAGTGAAGCATGTTGCACTTGCCAACACCGGTGTGCAGGATCTTCTTTTCCATGGCCAGCACTGCATACGCACCCTGAGACTTGCCTTTGCTCACATTGGCGTAGCTAGCGTCCGTCACCACACCCCAGCACAATTCTGTCATCGGAATCGCCTGGATGCGAATTGCCAGCTGCGCATTCTCCCTCACCTGGTTGATGGCACGGTTCAAGTCCAGCACATCTTGCACCTTAAGCTCACTCACGCTGGAAGCGATCAGGCTGGCAGCAGCCGCTGCATCAGGACGTCCTTCTTTGGCTGCCCATGTCAAACTGCCAACTGCAGCCCGCACCAACTCCTTCTCCTCTTCCGTCGCATCTTCTTTGGCCTTTGTGGCCCTGCCTTGAGAAAGCCTGACTGGGCTCAGGCGCTCGGTGACAAATTTCTCCATGTCAATCAGGAAATCTCCACCTTGATGTTTGATACGACGACCGTTGAAGCCCACACCAGCCTCTTCTTGATCAACCATCACGAACTTGCCAAAATCAAACCTTTGGCGAAGCTGTTCCATTTGCTGGAAGAAGTATTCATCTCCAGCGCCGAAGAGATCATCCACCTCCACCACCAGCAGTCCTCGGAGTTGTCCTCCTTGAAAGCTTTTGAACACACATGGATCCATGCTCGACTGTTGAAATCCACATTGGAACAATGCCTTCTTCAGACTCTTCCGCCAGTGAGCAGGAGCATCTCCCAATCCATAGGCACCAGCCAGAATCTCGATCAATTGATCCTTGTTCAGACCTGGAAGTCCTCCTCTTGGCTGCTTGCAGAACAGACGACCTGCTGGTTGCACCAGCTTATCAGATTGCATGAAGGCGTTCTTCAGGTCTCCAATGGCCGCCCTCCAACCTGAGCTTGCTGCGATCTGAAGCACCACAGCCAAAGTGGCTGTCGTCACCGTTGGAGCATGTCGGTCCAGTTGTAGAAGATCAGGATCATGATCTCCTCGAACACACCACCTTGACTTCCTCGTGGGGGGAACTCCTGGCTGCTCTGATGGCTTCCATCTTCTCACCATTCTTGACGGCAAGATCCTTGAGCTCAAACCAGCTTCATGAAGTTGTCGGACCACTTCATAGGATTCATCACTGTCCAAGGTCTTCACTGCTCCGGTGGCTTCCACTTTGCTCCACTCAGCTCCGTCAGCAATGCGCCATTGCTCCCATTCTTCTGGACGAATGTCTTCTTCTCGTCGGAGCCTCTCTTCACCATTAGGGCCAACTCAGCTTCTGGGGGCAACTTCCTGAGCTGAAACTCGGTGTAGCCCGTCCACCGGCGGGTAGGTCCACTAGCCGCCCTCTTGTACTTCATGGTTGGGATGTCTCGCCAGTTCTCTTTCTCTTCTCTCACGCTTCCGTCTCCGAAGCATTGCACGGTCCTTCTCTGTGAGGTCAAGTATTTGAGCGAGATCGGGCATCCTCGAGTTTGACTTGGCGTGAAGTGGACTCCTCTCTCTCTTGATTGTGCTTTCTGATGACGCTGTTTCGGTGAACGTCATAGATCCATAAGTCCTCCTCCTGATGCTCCTCGTCTTCAGCCTCCACCTCCTCTGCATGCCCGAGACTTGCTCCTCCCTGATATGGCCTCCAGCGATCCTTCACATGCCTTCTGGTGGGTCCATAAAGGTCTTGTGGCTGTCTTTGCCTCATCGTTCCGTCAAGTTGTTCACATCTTCGAGTGGACTCCACAGCCTGTTGAATCATCTCGGGCTCCTCTGACGGCTCTCTCTCAGTTGCCGGTGGAGATGAAGGAGCATACTCCATACTGGGCTGGCCTTCTTCCTCCTCTGGCTCGCCCGCTGTCTCCAGCCTTGGCCTGTGTCTAGGCGGCTCATCCCTTTCCCATTGAGTGATGTCCTCGAAGCCCCGTTTGCTGGCTTTCCGTGTCATCTCAACTCTCAAATCTTCAAAGTCACCATGCAGAAGATCTCTGGCTTCTTGCTCCTCTGGGGTAGCATGCCTAAGCTGCTCCAATGCGCACTTCCACAACTCTCCTCGAATTGATAGCCAGGCATTCGCTCCTTCCACCATGATCACCACTCCAGGACCCACCCACGTAGCTCGTCGGCCTTCTCGGTCCTCAAAGTCCACCTCACTCCTGGCTCTCTTGCGCTGCAGTGGGACCCGGTAGACGTAGATCACATCTCCAATCTTGAACTCTTGAGTCACTCGGCCTCTGGCCCACTGTGCTTTGGCCACTGCTCTGGAGGTGACATGTTTGAGGTACTCCTGCATGGCGTGGTTTCGGATCTCCATGGCCCTTTGCATGTCGTCGGTGGAAGAGTGTATCAGAAGCTCAGGCGAGTACACATCGTCTGAGCCTAGAGACCCTGGAAGCCTCATGTTGTATCCAAACTGCCTCTGAGCCGGGCTAAAACCTGAACGGTTGTACATTCGATTCTTGGCGGCTTCCACAGCGTGCACGCACATCTTCCACTCAGCCTCACTGGTAGGCAGCATGCTTTCACGCAGCTTCACGAACACCTCCTTGGCAACTCCTCCACGACGCTCCGTGCGCCCCTGCTGCCATGGAGCGCGTGCACCAATCACTCGATGTAGGGCTCCAGCTTGTGACACCTTCTCGGCGAGCTCCTTTCCGAACTCTCTTCCTTGGTCTGTGACCACTATCTCCGGCACGCTGAACGTTCGGATCCATGTTGAGTGAAACTTTTCCCAGATGTGACTCGACTGAGTATTGTCTAGAGGCTCCAGCATTTGATAGCCTGTAGCCCAATCCAACATGTTCAGCACCGGTCGTACTTGTCGAACGTCCAGAGCTGGAAAGTAGACCACATCCAGGCCAATTGTGCGACACGGCTCAAAGGTCTTGGGCAGCATGGCTGGCCTTGCTGCCTTTGGCTTTTTGTTCCTCTCGCAGATGTCGCACTTGAACTCATCCTTCACATAGCGCCACACTGCATTCCGAGCTCTGGCCAGTCTGAGTGCCTTGCTCAGCTCATAGTTGTTGGGGTGTCCCAGATTCTGGTGCAGCTTGTTGATGATCCGCTTGTCTTCTGCGGTGATGGCTCCCTGCACATGATCTGGGTCTTCTCCCTCTCTTCTCTCATGGCTGTCTTCAGCCTCAAGTTGCCTCTTCACCTGAACTCCTCTTTCTTTCTCCGCTTGCTGGCGTTCATCTTCTTTCTCCTCATGCTGTCTGAGCAGTTCCTCTATGTCATCCTCAGCTTGCTTCACCTCTGTCTCCTCTTGGCTGGTGGCCCACACATAGATTTGACGCTGCAACAGATCCTTCTTGCTTCCATTGATCATTGCCGCGCATAGCCCACGAGGATAGCGTTGTGCTAAGTGTGCTATGCCTCCGATCAGTGGCTGATGGGCATGTTCTCCACGACACCTGCGGCTCAGAGCAATGGCAGTGTGCACTCCATTGGTGAGAAAATCAGTTGGTTTTCTGTTGGGTGCTCCACCTTTCACGGCTAATCCATACTGGCATTGATCCGCTCTGACCCGCTGAACTCCTGGGATCATCATGATCTCCTGGACACACTCCTCCTGCCAAGCCCGTGATGTAGCCGGATGTTCGAAGATTGCAAGTTTTCCTCGCAGCGTCTGCCAGCGAAACACCTCCATAGCAAACTGAAGATGTTCCCTGCCCTCGGCCAGTCTGAGCTCTGAACGAGTGCCTTGATGTCGCTGGTTGAGACTCTGCAGGATGGAGAATGGACCACAAGGGGGACTCACCACGATGACGTCAGGATCTGCCTGCCTCAATTCTTTCCAGCAACGCCTTCGATCCACCTCCATGGATAGATCATAGCCAGTCTCAAGGTCGAATGACCCTCCGGCCAGATGTCCCTTTTCTTCTGCATACTTGCTCACCCGTGGTGGAGAGAAGAACTCTGAAACCACCAGCTGCTTCATCCTCTTGTTCACTGCCTTACGTGTGGCTTTGGACAGCGGTCTCTCCTCTTCAGGCTCATAGTCTTGATTCTGAAAGTAGCTGTCACAAAACTTGCCCACTGCAGTGACTCCGGTGTGAAACCTTGGCAAAATGCCGGAGTGAAACCTCCACGTGCCGTCCTCCTCTGGCACCCAAAAACCATCAGCGACCTGCCGTTCATACTTCTCACTTGAACTCTCCTCCAGCTGCTTCTTGCACCACAAGTTCCATTGGGCCTCATTCTTCAACAAGATCACCTGAGGGGCGTCTTCTTGCAATGCTTGCTGGAGCTCTTGTTCAGTCATCACTGTCGGGAGCTTGTCTGACTCCCGGGGTAGCCCTGGACCTGTTCCATCGCCATCTGAGCTTGGGCCTCCTGACTTTGAAGCTCCTCTTTCATTGCCATTGCCTTGCTCATCATCTCTTGCTGCAGGACGGGGCTCTTGAACACCTCCTCCATGCGTTCCTCGCCTGCCACCGCAGACATCCATAGCAGCTGGTTCTTGAGAGTCTCCACCTCCAAGGCGTGTTGTGCACTGGCCGCCTCCATGATCTCCTGGTGTCGGTGTTCGGCCATCAGCATAGTCTGTTGGACCATCTGCTTTCTCTCGGCCTCCTCTTGCTCCTCCCAGCGGCGCACCTCCGCATCCTCCTGCTCCTGCAACAGCTTCCGCTGAAGAGCCTGAGTTTCTTGGGGATCCCACTCGAAGAAATTGCACACCCTTTTGGCGCACTTCCAGAACAGGCGGCCTTGTGTCGGACCCTCCTTTTTCACAATCAGCTGCACAGCTGGAGCTTTGCAATGGCATTCCATAGTGGTTGTCCTCGGAGTGCTCAGCTGCTCGGCATTCCATGGAGGAGTCAATGGAGATCCCGGTGTCATTGGCCACTTGCTTGCCTTCTTCGCTGATGGCGTCCGCACTGGGGTTCTTGGTGGAGTCTCCGTTCGGGTCATCGTGGACTTGGCTCCCATTGTGAACGTCTTGCCGTTCACGTGGATCACCTTCTTCTTGTTGGCAATGTCGTCCATCACCCGAGCATCCACTCCCCAGCGTGCATGACACTTGCGGCACCACGCCTCTCTCTGGGCTTGATTGCCTGCACCCGCCAATGCCGCCATGGGATGCCCACATGCCTTGATGTGGCTTGTCGGAGCTTCCTTGCACTTCCTCTTGCCGAGATACTCCCCGAGTTGGATCAGCTCGGCATAGATGGATGCTTTGGTGATCTGCAATTGGGTGGCTCCGTCCATGCACGAGAAAGGCTCGGATCCCGACGCCGGCCGGGAAAACGAAGAGCACTGTGGCGAGCCATGCACAAATCCATCTGGATGCCAGTCTTCGAGCCTGATCTGAACGCGAGCCAGGTCCATGAGGTCGGCCACGTGCTCCATGATCACCCGCCAATTGCGGACAGCTCGCTCGGCCTTTCGAGGATCGCTCATGGACACTTTCTCCCATTCTTCCTTCTTGGACTGGTCCAGCTGGCGAAGTCGTCCGATGAGGTCCATCAACGGCACACGTAGTGAAAACACCCTTTTCCCACATGAACGTGACGTTCTGAGAAATCGTGGCTGTGAAAACACGAAACGATGCTTCTTTGCGAGTGCGCTCAACGGCCAAATCCGGCAACTGCCAACCCTCCTCATGAAAATCCAAAACTTGCACAGCAACATGTCCTGAATGCAAATGATGAATAGTGCTGCTCTTGCCATACTGAGTGAGAACCAGTGCACTGCTCTGCAAATCCACTATTGCCCCCACCTGTTTGAGGAACTGGATGGAGAGGAGGAATGGCACTTCGTCTTCGACCACAGTGGCCTCAATCAAGCCGTTGACGTGTCCGATGCCGACTGGAATCTCGACCACCCCACAGACCTTGGCGTCTCCGCCAATTCCCTTTGCCTGGGCCTTCTTACCAGTCCATACCACTTGAAGACCATGGTTCTTGAGTGACTCCTCTAACCGACGAAGGGCAGGAAGACCAATGAGACCACCCTGTGCTGCAGTGTCGATGATCCCCATGGAACCACTAGTGGTGATGCCCGAAAACGACGGTGTAGAGCTATACTCTGCTTCAAAGACCTCGACCGTGCCAGGCATTGACCCAGGGTGACCTGATAGGTGCTTGAAGGCGATGGATCTTCCGTAAGACCGGTCTCGCAGAAACCTGACTTGGGGCTTGCACCATCCGAGGCAGAGGACGCACGGTTTTTCCCCTTCGCGTCCGGCTCATTCACACATTCCCTGGCCCAATGGCCAATTTGTCCACAGCGAGCGCACTTCGTGCGGAGCTTCAGGACGTCAATGTGCACCCGAGTGCCTTTTCCACCAAACTTGATGCCCTGCATCTGACTGCCTTTTGCTCCCTTCCCAAAGCGTCCAGTCGAGCTCTTGCCAATGCCCTTGGGCTGAAAATAGCCCCTGCCGTTCTTCTGTTCACGAATCGCCTGCCGCACCTGCTGGTAGGTCGCTAGTGCTTCTGTCAGCTCTTCCTCCTCATACACCTGCTCAAGGTCTGCATCACCCAGGTAGATGTAGTTGCCGTCGTCCTCTGAGTCATAACCTTCAAGGGTGTCCTCATCGACCGTGAGATAGTGCTTACCACCACGCTCACGCTGGACCTTCTCCAGCTTCCGAAGAGCAGCTAGCACGGCCGGTCGATCGAATTTGCCTTGAGTCCACGTTGTCACCTGATCTTCTTGGGTCTGACTAAGGTTGGCCTGGCGAAACATGACATAGCCCCGAACCGTTTCATCCAGCGGCACGCCTTCCTCTCGCAGCTCATGGAACAGGGCATCTTGACGAACGATGAACTCTCCGAAGGTCTCCTTCGGTCGTCGGGCCTCACCATACACAGCACGCTCGAAAGCGCGTGGCATTGCAGTCTCAAGATGCGGCTGGTAGTACTCCTTCAGCTTGTTGACTATGGCCTCCGCGCCGGCCTCCGTTAGGAGGGTCTCCACTTCCAGCTCTTGACAAACGGCCTTGGCTGGGCCGCTGAGGGCGCGAAGCATCTTCACGGCGTGCTTCTTGGCCGGAACATCGGTCTCATGCCGCCACATCTTCAATTCCCGCAGGTAGCCCTCAAACTTCTCGACGTCGCCGTCAAAACCTGGCGGTGGATCTTTATCGCGCCATGGCAGCGCGGAGGACTCCGTGCCAGGAGACTCTCCACTTTCGCTCATGCCGAGGCTCCGCTACCACTGTAGATTACCCACAGTGGTAACGGAACAACACGGCAAGCATGCGCTCTTTCCGCGCTCGAACGCCCCTCGGGTGGTCTTGTACCCGAATGGACTACGGGATCACCATGCTCAAATGTGGCATGTCCTGAACATGGGAAACTGACACCAATCGACCGATCGTTCACAGAAACAGAAAATGGGGCGCCCGGGTCGTTTTGGGGGTCGTTTTGGAACACGTAAGACGGATCATGCTGGAACACAGATCACTTTGGAACACAAGCTCAGCAAAAAGCGTTTGAAGCCGCAGTCCTACAGCAATTTGCGGATCTTTTTGGAACACAATCCCATTCCTACCCGAGTTCAGCATAGTTCGGCCCTTTTTTCAAAAATCGCACCAATCTGCATCTTCCTCTAGATTTTTCCATCGGGTGGCCTCGGTCTTCAAACATGAGTTCAACATGAATTGAGTTCAACATAGACAGACTACTCTTATTTCCTCCTCCAGCTGGCGACCAGCTGGCGACCTGCGAAAAAGCGCTCACGACACTGGCCACCTGCATCCTTCCTTCCTTGCTCCCTCCCTCCTTCCCTCCTTCCGAAAACCAAAAAATACCTGAAACAATCAAAACCTACCAAAAATGGGCAATTTTTTCAATCAAGTAGGGTCTTGCTCAACTCAGCTCAGTGTCACCTAATTTGGAAAAGCTATGGAAAGCACTGTCCCACGCTCAGCCGCAGCAAATGCTCCTGCGAGACTTTTGATTTTTGGAATTGCAAATACCAGTTGAGATGTTCACTGAATAGCAGTCCGCAGTCCTAATTGGGCGCGAGTGACCTTGAATGGTCCGCAAACACTCGCCTGTTCGGAGGTCCTTGGGGCAAACGTCGCAACGTCACACGCTTCGCTTCCAGAACGTCGGGTTTCCGGCCCAAAGCTTCAAACAACCATCAAAAGCACCAGATACAGCACGCTCCTTTGCCTCAAAAGCAACACTCATCGCCTCGCAATCTTCGCTTTGATGAGGCGCAGACCCAATCAGCATGAATGGCCCAAACAAAGCCCACGTGCCGAGCAAACCTCCACAGCGGATGTTTGCTTGTCTGACATCTCAAAAACAGAAACGTCTAAAAGAAAAACACGGCTTTATCAATAGCATGGCCCGCATGGTTCATTCTTAAAATTCTCTTCACAACTCACAACTCCACGTTTTTATACACAAAAGCAACAAATACCTTCATTAAGCATATTATTGCAGCATATTGGCTGCACAAATACGCCTCACCAAGCATTCGGAGGAGTCCAAGCGCCAAAGGGAAAGGCTGCCATCATCTGAGCCAACCAAGGCGCGGCTGTCCTCGCTCCACTGCCTCAGACTGAGGGCTGGAAATCGTTCTCTCTGAGGGCTGGAAATTCTTGTGACTGTGGGACTGGGGAGTGAGTCGTAAAGAACACTTAAGAGTTTTGGCTCTTCCCACATGGAGCTATAGGCACTGTGTATGTGCAATGAAAAACACTTTAGTCTTGCATTTGTTCCTTCTGATCCCTTGCAATGTAGTTTCCCGCTTTTATATCTGTGGATGTGTCGAATTACTTTTTAGAGTCACGCAGTCTTTAGCTTCACCCTCTGCACTCTCTCAAAGAGGCTGTTGTACTTCCATAGAGGCACCGTAAAGGGCAGAACAGAGTTAGTTCAGATTGCGCAGCTGTCAACTTATGCTGATGGCAATGAAAAACCTGAACATATCCAAATGTTAGTTTAGTCAATGGACAAAACACTGACAAGTCAAAATGCAGCTACCATTGAAGGTGAATCTACAGTGAAATGCTCCAGCTTTGTTTTGGGCCAACCCTTTCTTGTGGGAATCCCTAACCATCTAGAGGGATCTCTAAGTCAAGATAATCTGTTCGTACTGTGTTCAGAGAACCAGATTTCAGAGATGTATTTTCCTGTCAGGTACCTTCATGCCTTCGCTTCGCATTTCGTTGCCATATGCTAGATGCAGCCGCATGTTTCGCGCATTCGACACTATGGCTCAAGGCCATGAAGACCATGCGCAGGATCGTTCATCCGCAGGAAAAGAGGGCATTGGTGATTGGGTGGGTTCCACTGGTGGTGAACGCTAGTCCCCATTGAGGCCCATAGGACCCTGTTCATTTCCTAGTTTAGGGTTCTAGCGCTTCGCATGGTAGCGGAGCTCATGGTGCTCCTTAGATTAGTTCTAGACATGATCCAGGTCACTAGGAAACTTTTTCTTCACCGCGACCCCCCTGTGTTAGCCATGGCCAAGCGAGCTGCCACTGAAGTCGATGCCGAAGCATCTGATCGAGATAGGTCTCCACGAGGCCGACGAGGCAAATCAATGCCTGCAGTCGCGAAAGCGCCATCACCTGCTTCGCTAGCGCCTGCGGTTTCCACACGTTTGGAAGGGCAAATAGCTGAATTGACCCGTGGACTTCAGATGATGGGTACACAGCTTCAAACCTTAGCTAGTGTCGTGGAGAATCAACAACAGGCCAATGCTAAGTCCCAGAGTGCCATTCAGATGCAACGAGCAATGATCCAAAGTTTGCAAGCTCAGAGAACAGCGTTGCCCATCTCTCCTCGAGGTGTGTCAAGGCCGCCTTCACTGTCGGGTGTCATGCAAGGTCAAGCCCCTTTGGAGCTGCCAACATGTCTGGAGGTCAGCCCAATGGTGCTTCACCTTTTGGTATTGGACAGACTACGACCAATGCTGCAGCACAACAAACGGCATCGTCAAGCAATGTTGGTTCCACTTCATCGGGTATGCCAACATTGTTCTCCCCGGCGGCATTGAGATTCCATTGGGTGTTCCTTCCACTGGAGCTACAACAGGTGCAACAACAGCTGGAACCGGTGGGACAACTGATAAGCCCGCTACATTGGATGCTTTTCAAAGGTCCGATAAGTGGCTTCCAGAGATGCCCAGTGTTGATGCCAAAGGCTGGCGTACTCGTACCGAAGAGATCATCGGCTTTGAGACTTTTATGGAGAACTTTACCGCATGGATTGGACTCGTCTCTGCCGCATTTGCCAATGAGGTACGATTCGCCATCACATCTCCTTCGATCATTGATGCAACAATGTTGAGCGAAGAGCAGAAAGCCCGAGGTGTGCGACTTCTGAACATGTTGAAACCAGTGTTTCGTGAGGTCCCCAAGGCCAAGATGATTTTGCTTGCATATAATGAGTCTTCACATTCTGGAGAACGAAACGGATTCGAAGCCCTCAGGTTGATCGCTCACGAGTACCTCGTGAGGTCACGTCAGGAGGCGATGCATTTCCGCAATTCGCTTCTTGGCAAGACTTTCAAGGCCAGCAGCGTCACCGAGCTCATCAAGCAGATGGAGTTTGAAGAAAGCCGATACCTGAAGTTGCTGAATATGCTTCCGAGCACAATCTCCAAGAGTGGATTAGACTTGCAATCAACAGATCTTGCAATGTTGTTCCTTCGATCCTTGCCCATCACGGTGTGTGAGTATGTCACAATGCATGGTTCGTCAGATGATTACAAAGATCTCAAATCTGCTGCTGCACTGAAGTATGAGACTTCTCAACGATTGTGGACTGAGATCAGTGGCAACACCGCATCGCATTACATGCAGAGTATGTTCGAGAACTGACAAAGAAAGGTGAAAAGGGTAAAGGTAAAGGAAAAGAGAAAGGCAAAGATACACGATCGACTTCAAGCAGCCCAAAGAAGAAAGCTGAAGAGAAGAGCGAGAAAGAAAAGAATTCCAAATGCTTTCGTTGCAATCGCAAAGGCCATTTCCAAAGCAATTGCCACGCCAAGACCGATAAGGATGGTAATCAGCCTGAAAAGGCCGGTTCGTCCGATGCAGGGTCAAAGGGTTCCCAGCAGCCTGATGGGAAGGGGAAGAATAAAGGTGGTAAAGGTAAGGGTAAAGGTAAGGCTAGTAAAGGCAAGATTCACGAGCTGGTTTCGAATCAGCCGGATGCCGAGTCATCGCCAACCGAAGGTGACTCATCGATAGCCCAGCCGACTTTGAGCCCTTTCGTTGCCGCCAATGCACGTTTTTCGAATCCATGCCTGCAGACCATGTTGCAGTTCGAACGTTCGGTGAACTTGGATGAGGACTGCGCGGGGCGTGGGTCGGAGTCAAATCCCGGTGTTTTTCAGAGCACTGTGGTGTTTCAAGAGTTTGTGAAAACTGAAATTTTTAGTCATTCCCTTCTTGATCAGGAAAAGCAAGATTTTGCGCATACATCATCAATGAAGCATCCAATATTTATGCCCTTTTTGATGCCTGCGATAACTTCTCAACAGGAAGATTCGGACACATTCTGGTGGCTAATTGACTCAGGAGCAAGCGCCTCTGTTGTGAGTAGCAAGTTCATAGATTCGTACGAGGTGCACCAGGTCATGGATCTCCCAATGGATAATGACCACGGTTTTTCCTCAGCTTCTGGTGAAATCATTAGGCCATCGAGAATGGTTTGTATTAAAGCACATTTCAAGATGCTTTCAATCCATGACCCTAAACACAAGATATGGCAGGATTGTTTGATCACAGCTTTCGTAGCTAATGCGCCGAACAATGTACTGAGTCTTGGGACATTATTGCGTAAGGGATGGACCCTTGGGAGTTCCGGATCAGAGGTCCAGGTCATTCACGATGACTTTCGTCTGGATATCGATGAGTCATCCAAGCACGATATGCCAGCAACTCGGCTCGTCGAGTGGTTCAAGACTTCGTCGGTGAGGCCACAAAAGTCGAAAGATGGTTCACAATCTTCCAAACAGGTTCGATTTGGGGAACCACATGTTTTGACCTTTGAAAGGGAAGCTCCATTGTTGATGGCTGCAAAACGGAAAGCAGAAACTGAATTGAGTCCTGAAACTGTTTATCGTTCGCTCGACTCTCAGCCTCAAATCACGCCTCCGATACCCGCCGACCGAAACGTTGCTGGAGAGTCAGGGACTGCCGAGCAGTCAGGGCAGGATTCGTCTTCGTTTTC